AGCGGGGGCCCTCTCTCACCTAGTCTCACCACTCCTTTGCCCCCACTGGACATCTCTGTAGCTGAGCAGCAGCAGCTGGGCTACATGCCACTGCGTGATGACTATGAGATCGAGTATGACCAGGATGCTGAGACGCTCATCAGTGGGCTGTCTGTGAACTATGATGATGATGATGTGGAGATCGAGCTCAAGCGTGCCCATGTAGACATGTATGTGCGGAAGCTGAAGGAGAGGCAGCGCCGGAAGAACATTGCCCGTGACTATAACCTGGTGCCGGCCTTCCTGGGCAAGGACAAGAAGGAGAAGGAGAAGACACTAAAACGAAAGATCACCAAGGAGGAGAAGGAGCTGCGGCTGAAACTGCGGCCACTCTACCAGTTCATGTCCTGCAAAGAATTCGACGATTTATTTGAAAACATGCATAAGGAGAAGATGCTTCGCGCCAAGATCAGAGAGCTGCAGCGGTACCGGCGAAATGGCATTACAAAGATGGAAGAGTCAGCTGAGTATGAGGCTGCCAGACACAAACGGGAGAGGAGGAAGGAGAACAAAAACCTGGCCAGCTCCAAAAGGGGGAAGGAAGATGGCAAAGACAGTGAGTTTGCAGCCATTGAGAACCTTCCTGGGTTTGAGCTGCTGTCAGATCGGGAGAAGGTTCTTTGTAGCTCTTTGAACTTGAGTCCTGCACGCTACGTGACTGTGAAGACTATTATAATTAAAGATCACCTCCAGAAGCGACAAGGGATCCCCTCTAAAAGTCGCCTTCCCAGTTATCTGGACAAGGTCCTAAAGAAAAGGATTTTAAATTTCCTCACAGAAAGTGGGTGGATATCCAGGGATGCTTCCTGAGGCCAGATGATGCTAAAGCAGCTTGTGAGCCAAATGACCTGGGGTCCCCCCACCCCCCAACATTTTTGCTCTTTTAAACAAATTGAATTCTTTTTTTCAAGGCTTAAATTTTTTTCATGACCCTCTGGAAGAAGCAATAGTAGCAGTCTTAAATTGACTCTTTGGGAGAAAAACGTGTGTCTTTCTTAGTCCTAAGGTAATCCTTTCAGAAGACGGCTTGCCGTTGTGTCCCTCTGAAGACTGTCCCCACCTTGGACTAGTTCCATTTATTTTATGAGCCTTCCCCCTTTTGGGTTTAGAAGCTGTTATGCTGTGGGAGCCAAGCTGTGTGTTCCTGCCATCAGCTTTTTCCTGGTGACACAAAGCTTTACTCAGGTGGGCTGTTGTTGGCACCCCTTCACTGAGCCCACTGCTGCCCCCCAGCCGGTACCCCAAGCACAGCCCCGGCACACCGCACTTTACCGGGAGGCAGGCTGTGCACAGAACCCTCTGCTGTGGAGGCCAGAGATTACCACCAGGCCCGCTCCCCACTGAGCCACTTAAGATGAGCCCCTCATTTGCACACAGTGACCACTTGAGCTTCCACTTACCTGACAGCAGCCATTCCAGGCCCTCAACAGCGCTTGCTTTATCTTAGCTCAGCCCAGCCTGGGCTGCCTGGGCAAGCTCTTAGCACATTCTTGTCCCTGTGGTTGGAAAAGCAGTTAATGGGAGGGCCACATGATCAGGTGGGGGCTGCCCTTCGCTGCTGTGAACCCCTGTAGTACACCTGACTTGGAAGACCCTCAGTTTAAGGCTGAGTGTGCAGTGCTGAGTTGGGGCAGTAGCTGCTCAGGACTTCCACCACCACTGCAGAGTCCCCTTCACTAAATACAGGATATGCTAGGGTATGGCCTGGTCCCCCCAGCTGGGTAGAGCCAGGGGACCAGCTGGCAGGGGCCCTAGGGAGTGCAGAGCGTCCTGCCTGTGCCTTGGAGCCGTTGCTCTGCTTGTTTGTGCTCTTGAAGCAAACTCAGAAATGGCTCCTTCCCATATTGACTGAAAAGCTTGTTTCTGGGGGCCTCCTTCAAGGATTCATATGGTACCTTCCTTCTTAACTTGAGGAAGGCATTTGTCTTCCAGCTGCTCAGGGTTCTCACGCCCAGACCCTGCTTTTAAGAGTCCTGGAGTTGACCACAGCCCCTGCCCCCTGTCCCTGAGGTACAAGAGCCTGTTTACCTCATAGAGTGTTTGGGCTCGGAAGTGAAAGTGAAGTTATTTTGAAGAAAAACAACTCATTTCCAAGGACGACTTGATGACGTGCCTTTTCATTTTACATCCTCTGCCCCCTAGGATAAGGTTTTCAGCATTAAATAAAACATTTCAAATATACTGTATATGGCTTTAGTTGTAAAGTGCATTGTAGGCTAGCAGGGAAGTACCCTGTGAGCCAGGCCCAGATTTCTCTTGACACCACAAGATGCTGAGCAGTGGTGTCAAAGAACCAGCTCCATGCTGTCCCCTGCAGGTGAATAGTGGACAGTAGCTGGTGTCACTGAACAGCAATGGGATGGTGCTCAGTGCCTAGTTGTTCTCCAAGTGGGGTTCCTGGGCACTTGTCAGAAATACAGAATCATACCCCATCTAACTCTCTTGAGATTTAGATGATTTGTGGGCTTCATTAACAGGGACTAACTAGCAGGGTGTTTTCAAACCCTCCAGGTGTCTGGGATGCAAGCTTAAGTTTGAGAACCACTGGTTTTGTACTGGTATCTCCAACACCAAGAGTCCCAGCTTGGTGAGGTTTGAAGTTTCAGTGTGTCTTCTACAAAATGACAGCTAGACCTACATTAGCTTGAGAAGCAGAGGATCCTGTCAACATGTGGCCTAGAGCTGTCGGACAAAAAGCTGTGCTTAAGCAGGCGTATAGTGTGTGTACATCTTTTGATGATATGAATTTATTTGGGCGTGACTGTTTTAAAACACCATGATGAATGTATAATTAATTTATGTTCAAGTATTAATATTGTTACAAGGGAAAAGTAATATTAGGATTGTTTGCTCTCCTGTCTGCCCCAGCTGTTTGTCACATTACTCTTTGTTAGCTCAGACATGGACATGTTTATATTTAATTCTCACGATAAATTAGCTACCACAACCCCATGGAACCAAGGTTTTTCAAATTTAAACAAACTGTCTTTGAGTCAGAAAAGTTAGATAATTCTTCAACTGTTTGAAATAATGCTCTTTGGGAGGCCAACATTCCAAGAATGTATTAAGAATTAAAACCCTACCATTTTTATTATTCTTTTACATTAAATTGTTGAGAACAAAGTCGTGTCTGTTTGCTTCTTGATCCTCCAGCACTTTGCTGTCAAGCCAGTTTCCTGCATGAGGTGGAAAGCTGCTGTCAACCAAGCACAAGCCCCATGGCCCAGACAGCAATACACCCACAGTTGAGTCTGATCCTAAGAGTACCAGCCAGGCCAAAGATCATTTCCAGCTGCCTCTAACATTCTGGTTAGCCACATTCACACTGTGTACCTGGAATGTGTCTGAGCAGATTTGAATTCCATGAGAAATGTGTGCACATCTGTGCATCTCCCATTAGTGCTGATGATGAGCTTGCACATCTGCCACATTTAGGCTACTCATTCCTGATTGGTTCCAGGACCCTCCACTCTTCCAAGGTACCAAAAGTGGCTTAGGCACTGTCTACAAATATCTACGCATGCTCCACCATGCACATAGACAGTGTACTTAGGAAAAAATGCTATCCATGTTCAACTGTTAAAACTTGGCTATTGTGTTTGAGCACAGGTGGGGGTTAGAGGACAACTTTGGGAATTCCTCCAATTCCGGAGATTGAACTTTGTCAGGATTGGCAGCAGGTGCTTTTACTGGTTGGCCTTTGACAGGTTTTTTAAAATATTTATTTATTCATTATGTATACAATATTCTGTCTGCATGTATGCCTGCAAGCCAGAAGAGGGCACCAGACCTCATTACAGATGGTTGTGAGCCACCATGTGGTTGCTGGGAATTGAACTCAGGACCTTTGGAAGAGCAGACAATGCTCTTAACCACTGAGCCATCTCTCCAGCACCTTGACAGTTTTTCTTGAGTCTAACATGGAACCTGTGAACAAGGTTGATCTAGACCTTGCAGGCGGAGCTCTGTACTGCTCAGCAGCTTTAGCTGGAAAGGGTTGACCACCCATCCACAGCGAGTCTGATGGTGGATGCACAGCTATGCAGCATAAAGGACATTGCCTCTGCTGCTGTCAGGCTGCCTGTAGTCTGCCTTTTGTCTAAGTAGTTCAAGGCTGCTTAGAGCAGAATGTATGAAGACAGAACCTTGAATTCTGGCATTGTCTTTTAAATTCAATGGCAAAAGACTATCCCCTCACCTCTGCGCATTTACTGTACTGCCTTGGCTTCTGCACAACGGTGTAATCAATCAATGCCTTACTTCCTCTGGCACAGCTTCACTTACATCACCATTTCTCAGCTTTTTTCCTGAGCCCTCTCTTGAAATGGGAAACAGGCCTTTTGGCTGGTGGGAGCCTGAAGTCAGCTTCTGCCACATGGCTTTGGCTCCTTGGTTTTCTCCTATGATCTATATTGTAACTGTATGTAAGGCCAAGATGTACAACCCAGGCATATGCAGCTTCTATACTGCATGCCTGCAGCTCCAAGCTTAAATGTGAGCTGAGTGAGCCAGGTTTTCTCCTCAGAAGCTCACCAGATCTCCACTAGATGATAAAATTCAATACTAGAAAACTAGAAAGACAAAAAAGATGACTTTTAATGCTCTTGACCACAACCTGAAAAGTGAAAATGTTTAAAGCATGCTAGCCATGCAGCTTCACATTCAAAATGATCTGTCTTGATAGCTTTCCTTAGTACTACTTAGCTATAGATTTAAATATTGAGAAAACTGTAAGCAGAGAAAAAACTAACTATGTTCAGGTTCAGGTGTTCATTTCCCAGTTCAAAGGCTGCCATTCACAGCAGCCAAATCCTACCTATGAAGGAATTCATGCTCTTGAAGATCTTAGCTTTGCTGGCAAGAGCACTGTTTTCCCACTCTTGCCCTTCTCTTTGAAGGAACCCCACCATGCTGAGTGATACCAGTGCCTTGGCACCCAGAGATAGACTGTGCAGCACAGATGTAGCCAAAGACCTTTTATTTGTGTAAAGTACTTATCACCAGGTGAAACAGATACAGTGTTACTACTCCTGAGGCCCTCTTCTGAAGTAGGTGGGGCTAAACTCAGTGATCAGGCTCCCAGAGTCCCTGACAGTATGCAAGCAGCTTCGTGTTCTGCTTAGCTTAAAATTTCCAACAAGGCTGGGCAAGGGACAGATGTGTTCACAGATGAGAAACTACAAGCCTGCCCCTGCCTCTGCCTTTCAAGTTCTAGCAAGTGACTTACAAAGTCCAGAACCCCGAGGAAGGCAGCTAAGCTTCCTTCACTACCCCCACCTTAGCTGGTCTGAGGATGCGCCCATGCAGCTTATAACCCACCTTATCAACTACTGCCACAGTGCCTGGCTCTTTCCCCTCCTCCACAGGGGTGTGGAACACAGCCTCGTGTTCATAAGGGTCGAACTTGACCCCGGTGGGGTCAAGCCTGAGCAGGCCATGTTTTGTGAACACCTTCTGAATCTTGTTTCCAGTCAAGACTAGCCCTTCATATAGGTTCTTCAAGTGGGGATTATCGTTGGTGATCTCCTCCTTTGGAACACTCTGGGTTGCCTTTTCCAGGATATCTGCAACCTCTAGCAAGTCCTTGCAGAAGCCCTGGATGCCTGCATGGAGGAAGAGAAGATGGTCTCCACTTAGTATCAGTTGCATGGGCTTCTCACACAGCGCTGTTCATGATGCCTGGTCAAATGATAGGCGAACCATAGCACTGAGAAAGAGCAGGTAATAGGTACTAAAAGTGAGGAAAGGAAGAAAGCACAGGTAGAGAGAGAAATTAGCTTAATGTGCCCTGAGGCTCCCAAAGCAAGGTGACTGCTGACCAGGCGGCAGGAGAGTACTGTGAGGACAGCAGGGGCTGCACCACCATCTCCATGTTACCCACATCTGCATCCCTGCTCTCTCCCCTCTCAGAAACGACAATGTCTGCTTACCAAACAGCTTGGCATCCTCTACCAGCTTCTGGCTTCTCTGCCGAAAATTCTCAGTATCTGCCAAAGCCCGTTTGTATTTTTCCTAAAAGAAGAAAAAAGAAAAAGATTTAATTATGTTATAGATGTGTGAGAAAGCCATTCTGATTTCAAAATGATTAAATAACAAACTCTAAAGCAGGACATAAATAAAATGTCACTAACTGAGATTTTGGACAAAACCAGGACAGTTTAAGAGTAATTTATACTTGTGCTGGTGTCTCCAGGAGGCAAGGAGAGACTACTACCCAAGGAAAGAGCCAAAAGATCCTCCTTATGTGCTCATACCCTCGTCATCCCTTAGGGAAAAAGGCCAACTTGAAGGTGTCAGAAGCATATCACTAGGGATTGCCTACTTCAGTTACCCGCCTCCAGGGAGAGGAAGGAAGATCACCTGAAGGAAATCTCAAAAGAGGCCATGCCCAGCCAAGTAATTAGTGTGACCAGAGATAGGACAGATCTCCACTGTCCCTCTCAACACCATTTCTGACATTCACTACTTTAATATCCACTGGTGGACTCCAGAGGTCTCTATAATACCTGACCTCAGTTTTCAGGCAGTCATGGAGCAAGGCTCTGAGACAGCTTGTCCTGGTCTAGCCTTCGTAACTTGGTAAATTCCACTAGTTTTTCTGTATCTCAAGTTTCCTCATCTAGGAAGGGACCGTGATTAAAGATTAACAGAGTTCAGCACAGTGCCAGCCATCTAAGTGATGTTACCAATTGCCCATGACTTAAGGAACTTGACTGCTGCCTCTTCAATGTGGAGTGATAATTGCCATCACTGACTCCCACACTCCACTCCTGTACATAATTTTCTGATTACCTTCATCAGTTCCAGCTTTATCACACCAAGTATTCCTCATTTGAATGGAAGACCCTGTAGAATTTTTTGGGGAGGGGGGGTAATGTGGGGGAAAGTGAGTCTTAGGACAGCTCTGGCTGTCCTAAAACTCATTTTGTGGACCAGGCTGGCCTTAAACAAACAGAGATCCACCTGCTTTTGCCTACCACATGCTGGGATTAAAGGTGTAATTTTTATCATAATACAGAGACTTCCCAGATCAGAAGCAGAGCCACAGAGAGTATGGATCTAGTCCTGGAGTTTGGCAGTTTGTTTACCACCTGGGCCCCCAGAAGGCAGTACACAAATGATTAAATGTCTTTGGCTGTGCCCTGTCACCTGTGAACTTGGAAGCTGTCATGTGGACCATGCAGGCAGCAATCCAGCAGTGCTTACACCAAGGGTCTGTGGTGGTTTGAAAGAAAACGGCCCTGAGAAACAGGGCTTCTCGTAGCTTTGGAGCCTGTCCTGGAACTCACTCTGTAGACCAGGCTGGCCTTGAACTCACAAAAATCTGCCTGCCTCTGCCTCCCAAGTGCTGTGATTAAAGGGGTGTGCCACCACCACCTGGTGGAAGTGTGGCATTGTTGGAAGAAGTGTGTCACTGTGGAAGTGGACTTTAAGGTCTCATCTATGCTCAAGTCATGCCAGTGAGACAGTCTGCTTCCTGTTGCCTGCAAGATGTAGGACTCTCAGCTACTTCTCCAGCACCATGTCTGCCTGCACCATGTCCAACTATGATAATGGACTGAACCTCTGAACTGTAAGCAAGCCACCCCAATTACATGTTTTCCTTGTTGTCGTGGTCATGGTGTCTCTTCAGAGCAACAGAAATCCTAAGCCAGGGTCCTTACCATGGTCTCCCTCAGCTGCTCCTCTAGCTTTACCTTCTCTTCCAGGAGGGTCTTGTCTGCAGATGGTTGTTGCTCTGTCTTTGGCTCACAATGACCCAAGTCCTCTTCCAGGTTCTGGCCACTGTTCGTCTGTTTTGTAAGTGTGCACAACAAGCGAGGAGAAGGCCTACGGAAAAGTCCACACATAAGAAGTGAAGACAGCCTAAAGACAGGCATAAGATTTTAGAAATCTGGGCCCCTGAGACAGCTCAGTGGGTAAGAGCACTGGCTACCAAGCCCGACACCAGAGTTCTAGTCTGGAGGACACACATGGTAGAGAGAACTAATCCCCACAGATTGTCCCAATCTCTACACATGCACTGTATGATGCGCAGCCTCCTCCCCAACAAAGTAAACGGTTTAAAAGAAATGATTTGGGTAATTTCAAACTATTTGCTAGGAAAGACTTATCTCAGACCTAACAAAGGCAATTGTAACACACAAAATGCATGGCTATGGAGATAGGGAGGTGGCTCAGTTGGTAAAATTCCTACAGTGCAAGCACAAAGACATGAGTTTTCACCCCAAGAACCCACATAAGAGAGTCGAGCATAGAGGCACACCTCTAGTCCTAGTCTTGAGGTGGCAGAGCCGGGCAGATCCCTGCAGCCCCCTGGCCAGCCACCCTAGTCAAATCAATGACTTCAAGCTAGCTCATTGGGTCCAAGGTGCTTGCCACCAAGCCAGTCATGACATGAGTTCAATTCCCGGGACCTACATGTTGGAAGGAGAGAACTAATTTCTCCAAGTTGTCCTCTGAACTGCCACACATTTGCTGTGGTAGCTGTCCCCAGCAAATGAGTAAATGAGATAGAAGATACCTGATGTTAATCTTGGGCCATACAGCTCTCTGGCCTCCCTCCTGGAGCACCTTTCTTCAAAAACACAACTTCAGGGACAGACATAAAGCAGGCTGGGGGGGGGGGGAGTTGGGAGTGGGACGCTGCTCTTCTGTCAATTAACATCAAATGTAGTACCACAAATGGAAGTGCTTCTACAGGAGTATTCCAGGAGGCCGCTTTGCGCCCAGCTCTTGGCACAGTGTAAGCCTGTTTTCATCGTGTGTGGTCACCTTTTAAGGTGCCTGCCCTCACCAGATGAAAAGACCAACTCCCATTCTACCCATTTTCCACAAAATTCAGGGAATGTTGCTTTTCATTAACCAATAGCTCAGCCCTAGCAAGGAACAAGGTAGATACTAAATAGTTGCTTAACTTTAGAGGTGTAACTCAAAAGCCCAAAGCCACGGGTTAAGATAAAGATGCCCCCCCCAAAAAAAAGAAAAAAAAAAAGAAAAGCATTTGTCTAAATGAACTGCGGACAGTGTAAGTGCCAGCCATGATAAATAGAGCATCTAGGGGGCTGGAGGATTGGCTCAGCGGTTAAGAGCACTGCCTGCTCTTCCAGAGGTCCTGAGTTCAATTCCCAGCAACCACATGGTGGCTCACAACCATCTGTAATGAGGTCTGGTGCCCTCTTCTGGCCTGCAGACAGAATATTGTAAAATAAATAAATAAATAAATAAATAAATATTTAAAAAAAATTAGAGCATCTAAAGGAAGTTCTTTACTTCCAAACATTACCATCTGCCAGAGTAGGACTCGGCCATCAATAAGTTTTAATGGAGGCCTGAGTCTCGGTAGTTTACCCTGACGCAATACCTGGTTGCAGAAAGAAACACAAACTGAGATGATCTGGGCACTACAGAAAAACAAACCATCCGACGGAAATGCCTAACTTTCCAACTTTTGTAGATCGGATCACCTGCCAGCACACCTCACCAGGCACCCCTAGACAAATGTCAGCCAATATCAGGGGTCCTGAACCTCAGAAACCCCCTCACCCCCACACCTTTACTACTATAAAAATCCAACTCTGACTGATCTCAGGGCTCTCCGTTTATTCCAATACGCTGGACATGAGTAGAGACTGAGTTTGCAAACTTGCATAAAATAAAGGCTCTTTGCTTTTACATACGGGACTCTGTCTCCTTGTTGATTTTGGGGGGACTTCGCGGATTTGGGCATAACAGACAGCATACTTTCTGGTCTGAAGCATGCCTGAGTTGGCCCTGGCCCTGAAATGCACACTGCAGTTACCAACCAGTTTTAGCAACGCCAGCCCCTGCGCAGGCGAGCATCTGCCTGGCTGCCTGACCTTGGCCAAGTCTCTGGCTTCTGGGGTTGGCTTTTGCAATCCCAGGAGGGGTGGTGTCGCGTGCCCGTGAGCAAGCGGTGTCGTCAGAAAAGCACGTGGCAGAGCTTCCACCTGACGTACCGCTGCAGAGCCCGGGTCCCCACGCTTACGTCCCAGCTGCCCTGCTTCTCGGCTCTCGAGCCCAGTTCATGCAGCGCGGCTCACAGCAGATCCCGGGACGCCTGCGCGGAGAAGCCAGGGACAGGGATCTGGCTGTGAGGACGAGGCGCCAGGGCACACGGAACCCGGCTGAGGGGACCCCCAGTCTGCTGCAAAGGCCGCAGCCAGAACTCGGCTGTGAGTGGGGCCGACGCGGAGGAGCCACACTCTCTCACCTGACAGACAGCGCCAACGCCGGGAGACTGCGCCGCGCGAGCCACACGCACCGAGCCGCCATGCTTGCCTTCGCGACTGCGTCACTGCGCCCACACTGAGCATGCACGGAAGTATTAGGCCAGCTTCCCCACCTACTGCTGCTTCTCAGCTAATCCGTGACCATAGTTGCTGTGATGGACAAGCATGTCCACCAATACTTGCTAGTCGTGACGGAGTACCGTTTCCCCTCCCCGGTGGGCGAGGACTGAGACTTCTGGGAGCTCCGGAAGGTGAGGAGGTGAAAGGTTAAGGGAGCGGGGGAGGAGCCTCTGTGGGCGGGGCGCGACAGGAACAGCCAATGGCGAGGAAGAGCACGGGGGCGGAGCAGGCGGTGGCCGGGGCTCGGACGGAACTTGACAACTTGTGCGGGTTGCATGGTGCTTAAACCTCCCACCGCGTTAGGTTTAGGGAACGTGGGAGGACCGGGAAGGTGAGGGCCGGTGGGCTGGGGGGCATCTTTGGCAAGTTTGTCGCAAGCTTGTTGTGTCAGCAGGCTGTCTGTGGACGACCCGAGGAACATGGCTTGGATTTGTACCCTCTGTCACCTGCAGTTTTCTCAGAACCCAACAGAAGCAAATGAAGTAGCAGCGCTGTGTGCCGGAGAGCTCTGAGAATATGGGTGTAAATGTTGGTCAATGCTCTGGGAGAGGTTGCAGTGCTGAGAGTTTTTGAGGACGCCTCCTGTCCTGTCCAGGTCTCTGCATCTACTTCCTCCTCAGCCTTCTCTCACATCCCGAGACTGAATGCCTTGTCCGTGAGTTACAGCCTGCGTGTGCACTCGAAAAGGCCCAAACTCTCATCATTTAGCTTCGCTCTTATTAAAATCATTTGCTGTTTGTCAGGGGTGGAGCTGTCACACGAAAGCACATGTCACCTCAAAAGGTAGAAGTTTATTCTGGAGCCAACTATGAACTATCCTGGTCCAGAAACACAGTTTTAGGACACCGCAAATTCAATGTTTTAACGTGAAAGCAGTTTCAGTACATTTGTATAGCAGCAGAACAAAGAGAGCCATAATTCAAGACATAAAATGCATTGGTGAAAATAGTAAGTAGACAGTAACAGTAAATCAGAGAAATCTTTGCTGTAGGGCTTAGATGGCCTTTGATAACACTCTCAGCCCTTTGATTGGTGGGGACTCGTGTTTTGTTATTATGTTACCAAAATTTTAGCCTGTTTATGGAATGTTAAATCTGACACAGAGTTGGGCAAGGAGTGTTTTATGGACTAAAGATTGGCCATGATAAATTGTAATTAGGCTCTGGACCTGCGGTAGCCACTGAAGTTTTAATCAGTCAGCCCTTGCAAACAGTTTCTTTCCAGGGATCCTGGTTCATGGGACAGGTGACCTGATGTGGATTGTTCTTTCTGCGGAATATGAAAGAAACCACGAGGTACAAATGAACCCACATGTAACTTTATTACAGGGAAGGGCGTGGTGGACCATGCAAGAGGAAAACAGGAAGGAAAGAGAGAGTGAAAGTACTGAACGCTTTGCCTTTTAAAGGCCACTCCAGCGTACGCTCATCAGACGCTGCATTTGACGCTGCATTTTTCTTCTGCATTTTGCGTCTGCACGGGGAGATTTTGCATTACATTGTGGGTGCATGTGTTTCTGGGAAGTGAAGTCTTCCGAGTCAGGCAGCCGATGCTGTACTCTGCGCCTGTGCACAGGGCCCTCCTGGGAAATGTAGTTCCCCAGGAGAACAACACATATAGGATCGTAGTGGGTGGGAATTTCTCAGTAAGTACTGAAAATTCACCTGTGTTTAATTTTCCAACTGGTTAATAAACCCCTGACCCCAAAAGGTAGGAGTAAAACAAAAGACTTCATTAACATAAAAATTGAAAGTCACGGGCTACTTTCCTGGCTAGACTCACGCCCTAGACCAAACACTCCATAGACAAACCACTCCCTGGGTGGGATCCCAAGTTATCTCCATAAAGGGAACTGGAACTTAGTTGGATCCTTAGACTTTTGTTTTAGGTAGGAACCAACTACTTCCCTATGTCAGGAGCATGAGGTCTAGCAACTAGCCACACCTGTTGACAATAGCCTTGAGAGAGCAGAACTCTCTGCCAGGTAACTAGATGGGAATCTTTGTTTGAATCAATAACCTTGAATGAACAAGAAACAAGTCCCAAACTCTCTGACCTTTTCAGTACAGCCCACAGGGTTCCGCTGCTAGGAGGTATACCTGCCTGTGCTGCCACCTGGTGACCCACTCAGGAACTACTCGAGTGGCAGCCATCCCCAGAAGCTGCCACCTTAGGCAGTTCCAGAGTCCCCCTGAGGTCCAGAACCTCCCCACCCACCTGACCAGTAATCTGCAGGTAGATATGGAGCTGCCTGGAGAAAACACTCGGGTCAGCTGTCTGAGGGCACATTCAGCGGTGGTCAGGGCAGTCTAGGAATGCAGGAGGATCAAATGAAAACATGGGGTGGACCCAGAGAAGATGGAATGCTGTTTTTAAAGAAAAACAGTCCTCAGAAGGTCATGCAGATGGCTGGACAGCCTGACTGTGGGTGTGATATGTATCACAGCAGGATGCCTGCCAGGTGCCTGGCTCTTTAACATGTCCTCTTGTGGATGAGCCCCAAGACTTGCTGGAGAGAGGAACGGTTGGCCAGGTTAGGCAACTCACACAACTAGAAGAAGCTCTTGAATATTTTTTCACACCAACCCAGCACGCACTCGGGTGGAAAGCAGAACCTGCGCTTGTCTCCTGTAGTAGGGAACTGCGGGCAGGCCTGCTTTTCGCCCCACCACTCCCGCATGGCTAGCTTAGCCCTGGAAATAACACACAAATTGTATTCATTTAAACACTGCCTGACCCATTATCTCTAGAGAGTTAGTTACTGACTAACTCTCATATCTTGATATTAACCCATTTCTAATAATATGTGTAGCACCAGGAGGTGGTGGCTTACCGGAAAAGATTCAGCATGTCTGACCTGGTGGCTGGCTCCATGGCCTCTGCCTCACTGCCTTCTTCCCAGCATTCTGTTCTGTTTACTCCGCCTACCTAATTTTCTGTCCTATCAAAGGGCCAAGGCAGTCTCTTTATTGATCAATGAAAATAACACAATAGACAGGTAACCCTCCTCCATCAGTCTCCCAACTGTGACCATTGCCTTCAGCGGCATGATGATGCTGCAGTTAGCGGGTGGCTCTTTATCCCGTCATGCAACTTGAAGGTCGGCCAGTTTGGAAATGCCTGGAATTATTTTTTAATTTTTTTTAGCATTCCTTTATGTGTTCAATTTAATAACACCAAGAGCCAGATACTTTGACAACACGTCAGACACATCACAGACCTAAAGACAGCCGTTGTAGACTTAACTTCAGCATTCAGTTTTGCTTTTGATTGTGCAGACTCAAAAACTGATTTATTTAAAAAAAGAAAGAAAGAAACCCTAAATATCATAGTCTTGGCTCAGAGTCTTTACCAGACATGTGGCAACACTCAAACGCTATTAAAAACTGATAACTTGGTCATATATGACTATTACATGTGCAAGTGAACTTTGGTCTCCTAGAACACTGCACTAGTAGAATGACCTATCCTTTGATTTGAATAATTATCAGTGTAGGGGCTGGAGAGATGGCTCAGTGGTTAAGAGCATTGCCTGCTCTTCCAAAGGTCCTGAGTTCAATTCCCAGCAACCCCATGGTGGCTCACAACCATCAGTAATGAGACATGGTGCCCTCTTTTGGCCTGCAAGCATATATGCAGGCAGAACACTGTATATAGACATACATATATAAAAAAATAAAATAAAAATAGGTCATCCTCACTACATAGCAAATTCAAGTCCAACCCAAGATATATGAAATTTAAATAAATAAATACATATCAGTGTAGGATGACATGTCCATGTCAGTAATACACTGGGGAGACATTCACTAGGGTGAACACGACAAAGGGTTAGTTATTTGGCAGCAGAAGGTGGAAATGGGCTGATCCCTGACATGAATTCCTCCATCATGTTCTTCCCATGACATCCTTGCTGGTCTTGGGTCAAGTGAAATGCCCTTCTAATTCAGCCTGAAGAAGGACCTCTTCCTCCTCCTCTGCTGCCTCTTTGTCCTCCATCAGTGTAACTGCAGCAAGCCTGGGGCTGGGTCACCTCTGGCAGTCCAAGCTCTCTTCGAACTGTCTTATGAACTGCCCTGGCAACCATCTGGTCTAGACAGGCCTGATTCACAACTTCTTTCTCAATTGCTCCTTCCTATACCAATTTCTGTAACAAAGGCTCCAACCTTAGAACATAGGCAGACAGCTTTCTATCCGTCTTCTGGTAAGTAGTAAGGTATTTGACCTGCAATGCCCTAGGATTATCAATAATTGCAAATATTGCCTCAAGAGTCTTAAGACATTCTGCAACTGTCACGAAAGGATTGTTTATCTTGATGACTTGAATAATTTTAAACACTGTGTCACTAAGGCTCTCTGTGGACCACCTTCTTTTCTCTACATCTGACACCTGCCATGTTTTCATTACCTGAAAAGTATGAAACATCCAAGACTCAAATTCTTCTTCACCCGGTCCTGGAGGATCCCTGCCTGAGGAAACACTCAACTTCCTGTGCCTCAGATACCATAGAGTAGGCTTGAGGGCCTCATCTAATGCCTGTGCCAAGATGGGGGCTCGCATTTCAGGGGTCATGCCCTGGTCTAAGCTGAGAGGATCATTTCGCTTCCCAAGAACTCTGATCAATTCACCCATCATCGTGCCCTCTCCCTTTCAAAACTCATTTAATCTGCATAAAGACTCATTATCAGCATCAGGGGGCTTAAAGATCACTCTCCAGACATCGCCTTTTTCAGGTATCTCCTTGGGAACCAGAGCACAGCTAGTCTCTACCATAAGCCCTATCAAGGCTACATTCTTGTTCTCATCCCTCCTGAACATCCTCCCAAGCAGTCTGTGTTCTCCCAAGGGTGCCAGGCCAGCCTGCAGGGCCTCCTCGATTTCTGCTACTCCCACAAGGGAAAGAAACTGTCATTCTTAAATCATCCCATGAGTCAGTTTCCAGCATTCCCACAGTAAGCAACCACTATCGTATAAGACCCCCCACCACCACTTCAGGGTGCCTGTGGTCCTTTCCCATTTGTGATGTTTTTCTGCCTGACTGATCTGACCAGCACACAGGAGGGTTCATGGTACACGTGGTTTCTGGCAGACAACATAATCAGTTTTTTAATCAAACTTTCTCCCGCACCCACCCGCTTAAGAAGATGTGGTCAGCAGGCCCCTGGGACTTTAGCACCTCCAACTCTCCTTTGAGTCAGCTAAGGTCACTTCACAGCCACCGCTGCAGTTTCTCTGGAGGCATCCGGGAACCCAGATGCTGTTGGGGGCCAGCCTCGACAAAAATACCCTCTTCCAGAGTGGAGGCGTGGGAATTTAGAAATATAGGAAAGAATACAAAGATGCAAACAATAATAATAAAACGCAGAAACACATAGGATAGTATCGGGAGGGAATTTCAGTGAGTACTAAAAATCCGCCTGTGTTTTGTTTTCCAACAGCTTAATATTCCCCTGATTTCAAGAGGTAGGAGTAGAACAGAAGGACTGCATTAACATACAAGCTGAAAGTCGTGGGGTACATTCACTGCTCATGCCCTTGACTCATGCCCTAGACCAAACACTCTGTAGGCCAACCACTCCCTGGGTGGAATCCACAAGATGCCAGCAGACCCAGTCACCTGCATCTATCGTTGAAATGTTCTCAGGGAAAGGGAGGCTAATTTTGTGTTTGCTCATTTCCCATGCACCTGCGAACTCAAATAAAAGGCCTCACATAAAGTCTCTGCAGCAAGTGACTTCAACCGGACCATCCACTGCGCCCCCTCCCTGCATTTACTCCCTCACAGTTCTGGGAGGCAGAAGTCTAGAGGCAGTCTCTCAGGGCTGAAGCCAGGATGTGACAGAGCTGCCTCTCCTTGGGGCCCCACGGAGGGGTGCATAAGGCTTTCTTGCCTGTTTGCTGCCCTTGTATCTCCCAC